CCCCCCCCCAGCCCCTTCTGTGTCTCGCCAGGCCGGTTGCGTTGGTGCTCTGACCAGCCGCTCCCCCTCGTCCCCTCGCGGCCGCCTTGCTGCGTCCCTTCTCGCGGTGTGTGTGTGTGTGTGTGTGCGCGCGCGCCCGCCGTGTCCCAGTCTGCCATGTTCCACCTTGCTCAGCATGCTGGCCGCCAGGCCATGTCGGCCGGCCGGCCGACGATCGCCCGCGTGGCCGCCGCCCACCAGCAGGCGGCTCGCGGCCCGGAGGAGGCCAGGGCCACGCGGGCGCCCCCGAGGGCGGGCTACTCCTCCTCGCCCACGGGCCAGGGGGTGTGGCCGTCCTCCGGGCCGGGCGCCATCGGCCAGCAGGCCCTCAAGGTGGAGGCCGACAAGCGGGCCAACAAGGAGCCCCAGGAGCAGCTGGGCCCGCAGCAGCACCAACTCCACCAGCAGAAGGACCAGTCGTGGACGCGCACCGGCCCCGGCGGGGGACCCGCCCCCCACAAGCCCCTGTCGCACTCCGCCCCCGCCTCTGCCCATGGCCGCACTGACCCCGAGTCTGCATTTGTCTCCGGCCCGGCCGGGACCTCCGCCGCGCCGGGGTTCTTCACCAGGCTCCTTCGCAGGACCTCGCACACCCTCCACCTCGACACGATGCCCAGCATGAACAAGGACCACGGCAAGATGCCCGGCTCCGGCGCGGCCGCCGGCCAGCAGAAGCAGCACGGCGCCTCGCAGGCCAAGCAGCAGCAGCAGCAGCAGCATGCCGACAAGATGGACGCCCAGTCGGCCTCCTCCAGCCACAGCCAGATGCACTCGGAGGGCAGCCACTCCGGCGAGTTCCAGGCCGCCGGGTCCTTCTACTCCAGCAGCTTCTCCCAGGTGGGCGACGAGAAGCCCAAGATCTCCCGCGCCCATGGCCAGTGGACCGCCGACCCGCAGGGGCACATCACCGGCAGCGCCGAGCGCTTCGTCGACTCGGGCGCCGGCGAGCCCAAGCACGAGCGCTTCGAGTACTCGCCCGAGGGGCGCCTGAAGCAGGTGGCCGGCGGCCAGCAGCAGGCCAAGCTCGGCGCCAGCCAGCAGGAGCAGCAGAAGCACCTTGGCTCCGGGGCCGCCGCCGCCGCCGGCGGCGCCGGTGCCAAGCAGCACCAGCAGCAGCAGCAGCATGGCCACCAGCAGATGGGCGGCGCCGCCTGCCCGCCGGGCGCCGACGCCCAGAAGAAGGCCGGCGCCGCTTGCCCGCCCGGCAGCAAGCAGCAGAAGGGCTCCAAGCAGCACCAGGGCCAGTGCGACTAAGGGGCCCGGGCCCGGCCCGGGGGCCTGCCGAGCGGGGGGCGGGCCCCCCTGGGGCATGCGCCTGTGTGTGTGTGTGTGTGTGTGTGCCGCATACATGGCATATATGTATTGTGTGTATGAGTGCGCCTGGTCGTGCCCTGCAGCCAGCGCGTCGCGCACCCCCGCCCCCATGCCATGGTGCCTCTGTGCACGCGCGCACGCGCGCGTGTATGAGGACATTGTCCTGCTTGGGCG